ATTGTTTTACACTTACATTTAATCATTTAGCAGACACTTTTATCCAAAGCGGCTCACAACGGATGACAGTAGAAGCAATCAAACCAAAAAAGAGCAACATTATTTAAGTGCGGTGACAAGTCCTGGTTAGTCTAATTCAGTACCCGAAGCAAGTTTTTTTTTTTTATGATAGATAGAATAGAGAGTGCTTGTTTTAGAGGGTCAAGTGTAGATGGAAGAGTTTTACAGTGGGGCAAAAAAGTATTTAGTCAGCCACCAATTGTGCAAGTTCTCCCACTTAAAAAGATGAGAGAGGCCTGTAATTTTCATCATAGGTATACCTCAACTATGAGAGACAAAATGAGAAAAAAAAATCCAGAAAATCACATTGTAGGATTTTTAAAGAATTAATTGGTAAATTCCTCGGTAAAATAAGTATTTGGTCACCTACAAACAAGCAAGAGTTCTGGCTCTCTGCTATAAATATACTGTAACCAACCCCTAACCTTAACAGAAAGGTTTTGTCAGGTTTACCTCACTTCTGGGTACAAATTTGTCACCAAAAGATGGTTACAAAATATTTGTCCCCAAAAAATGGTTAAAATACACACACATATATACAAACACTAGCAAATGTAAACAGTCAGGTGGAATATTCAAAAAGATTCACAATCATATATGGAAATACAGTCTAGATGTTTTATGAGGATTATGATAAAACCATACATGTATAGCGAGACAGATTTAATTTTTAATGGCCCAAGATATTTGTCAGGCAACAAGCCCAGAGCGACAAGTTAGAAAGACCAGAATTTATAGCTGAATGGGGAATTGTTGGTTTATTACATAAAGATAAAAAGAAAATAGGACGACTCAACCACCTGTCTCATCACTAAGCAAAGCCACATCACTTACAAACATAAGCGATTTACATTCATAAAAGAAAAATGAAAGTATGTGTAAAGATGACAGGGGAATAAATCTCTCAGCACTCTGTGAATGAAAGATCTGGAGGCATGAAGCACTCCTGAATTTGAGCACAGCACTGACAGATTTACCAGAGGAAGCCAAAGAAGGAGATCTGGACTTGCTTGGTTTGGATTGGATTGGGGGGCTTTGAAAAGAAGACAGCGGTCACATCAACACGCGTCAACCTAAATGTGTCAAAGTGATGGCCACAGCTTTGAACAACCAATGAATTTCCACAACATATATGGTAATAATAACCAGTAAATTATTCATTGATCTCCAGTGTAAAGACACTAGTGAGAACATGTAGCTGTTAAACGGGATTTGATGTGGATAAATATACTTTTCAATATTTAAAATGTAACGTTTAGGTCCAGAAATCAACAAAGCAAGTAAAGCTGTTTTTCAAGTCAGACCAGCACTAGTGAGGAATGTGTGATAGTCGTCAATGCGAGCTGTGATTTGGTTGGGTTTCTGTATTCACTACATTATAAAGACAAACAATTAAACGAAATTATTATTATTGTTCTACATATCAGTTATCAGAAACTCAAAACACAATGTGAATGTCTGTTTTAGCTACACATGATAAGAATACTGTCGTGTTTAAACCTGCTTTTTATGTGTGTTGGACTTCTATGATTTTACATACTTACCAATCGTTGCACCAATTTCTGGATCAAATGTATCATCTGTAAATCTCAAAAGAAGACTAAGGAAGAGAAGAGGGGAAAGAAAGGTGAATCAGAGACTGTACTTTCCTTCTCTCTAGCAAATTATGACATATGCACACATCTGCACATATATGTGGTATGGGAATCTGAGAATACTGAACTGACAAACATTCAGAGGTTCCTATCTAAAGCGAGGAAAGGTTGTTTTAATATACCGTTAAGCAGTTCGTGAATGTGTTGTTGTTGTTGTTGCATCAGATGGCGTTCGGTAACGTTAAACTTGAAGTATAATTACCTGGATTTGCCCACTCCACTTTCTCCGATGATCAGTATTTTCAGAGTGGTTAAAATATCCTCAGTCATATTTTCCAGAAGATGCCACTATGAGCAAAAGTACCGTCGATATAAATAAAAATATATAAAATGGAAAGCAAAACTATTATTTGAGGGCCAAACGTTTCTCTCTTTTCTTCGGTCAAATCTTTCGATGGAGGCGAACGTCTGAAAAACCCAGCTCTGCCATCTAGCGGAGGTTTATAATCAACATCGTAGTAGAGTATAATCGTTTTATTTATTAATTTCAAGAGCTTTATACTAGACGCACAAAATGGAAATCCTCCTCGTGTATTTCTATACAATTGTTTTTTCAATCTTTATTCAAAAACAACTTTGATTAGTCCATCTTGACTAGCGATGAGAAAAGTAACAGATACCAGGTGACAAAACAATCTTAAAATTGAGAAATATTAATAATCTGATGGACCCTTTTCACAAGACTGTGACAACGCGTTTAACGGTCGTCAGCATCGTAAATCCTCGAAAGTTTTTCATATTTGTATTTTATTTTTATGTGTCTACATTTATAACACTATTTTTTTTATTATATCACCTTTGCATCAAATTACAAAAAAAATCAGTTAACGCTAATGAGAGGGTATTTCAAATGCAGCCTCAATGGTTCTCTCTTCTAACAGCCGTTATCAGTCTCTCTCAATTTTTTCCTTTTATTGAAAGTCATGAAAACACTATCGTGGAGTTTTTCTTTTGCTATTTGAGCAACTGGGAATGCAAAAAAAATATATTTGTGGTGCTCTTCAAGTTAACCCAACTATGACGACTTCCGCTTCTGAGAAACCCGGAAATGTGAAAAAGGTCCATTGTTCTGCATAAATCACTACATCTAAGAAGCAACTGTTTAAGCGTGGGATTTGTTAGCCAGATAGAAAAGAAGCTTTCCATCTTTGTAAGACTTTGGCTAGATTCATGTGAAGCAAAATCTACAATAGTAACCTGGCAGAGTGAAACATCACTAAGAGGGTCATTGTGATTTGAATATCATTAGTTTCCCAAAATCCAAGAAATGTTGCCAGTTATGGTCTATGGAGGTATTGTAATAAACAAATTGGTACACATTCACACACAAGATTTTTTTTAAAGCAGTTTAATTTTCTATCCTTTTGTTGCCAAGTTGACAACAGTCATCAGCAAAATAAAACAGAGTCATATCCATAAGGTGCAAAACAAACAATGGTGGCTTTGCTCCCACCCTCAAAGTTAAAATGCCATTTAAAGCAAAGATTTTTCACATTCCACATTCCTTTATTTCTGCAAAGTGAGGCTGAAAGATGGCTCAATCTAAAGGTTTTCTTTTACTTTGTCGAATCAGTAAATCACTTTGAATAAAGAATAAGCAGCTGTGCAGAAAGACTGAAGCATCTCATCGACTTTGAGCTGGAGCTTCTCCTTTACAAATATACGGATACCAGGTTTCATCCAGTGCTGATTTGTACAAAATGACTGGACAAAAAACAAACAAAAAAAGCTCTTAAGATTTATAGGCCTAAGCAGAAAAGAAGTATATTTACACAGGACCCTGCATATAGTGTAGCTTGAAAATGTGTAGCAAACTTCACTGCACAATAAACAAAGTTATAAATGTGCCTTGAACATTAATACGAAAGTTGGTCTGAATTAAGTACCAAGACTCCATAATCTGGCTGAATTAGGAGTGAACAGTTTAAGCACTGCTTAAAAGCACCATTTTCAGTACATCAGGTGGATGGACTTTGAGTGGTCAAAACAAAGCAGGATTACAGCCTGAACTCTTCTGCCAAATATTCTTTTGTTTGACCAAACATTCGCAAACGGATTACTTACAAGCCCTAAAACCTGCACGTGCACAGCTAGAGATTGCAAACTATAATGAAACTTCACATATGCACACGGTGTTATTTGTGTTGGAATGTAGTACATGTATAACTCTCAGTGTATGATGCATTGCAGTGTAGCCTACTGGGTGTTTCAGCTGTTTCAGTGCAGTGGCTGCAGTGTGTTCGGCGGAGGGGAAGTGTAGCGGTAGTTTCAGGCCCAGTTTCCAGAGCAGTCAGCCAACAGAGGACCACACCCTGGCCTGAGCTGCCCTGTTCTCCATGGGCTGCTCTTACCATAGCCAAAAGTTTGGCCAGACCACTGGATTGAAAATAAGTGGCCAGACACTCAGGAGGAGGAGGAGGAGGAGCAGAGGCTGGTAAAATACTTTCATACAGATTACACTTTTTTCTGCAAAGAACAAGCTTTGAGTGATCACATTCTGTAATTTACCTTAAGACGTTTATCCTGAAGCTGCTCTCTACAACTAGTGTGAAGCCCGATGAAAGGCATTACTAAACATCAACATACAAACACAGAGTGGCTTATATTTATTTAAACATTTACAAATAAATACTTGAAGATTTTGTCTTCCATTAATGGCTTCTTGTTGAAGAAAGAAACAGACTTTTATAGACTTTTAAGTAATTACCGAGACCAGTGAGTTTTGTGCACATTATATTTAGATGGTAAGTTATGGACCATACTATGTTCTGTGTTCTGTCATGATAAATAATAAAATCATAATAAAATGATCTTTCCTCTAACTTTACACTACCATTCAAAAGTTTGGGGTCTCTTACGCTCACCAAGGCTGCATTTATTCGATTAGAAATAGAGAAAAACAGTAACATTGTGAAATATTACTACAATGTAAAATAACTGCTTTCTGTTTTAATATATGGTAAAACATAATTTATTCCAGTGATGGCGAAACTGAATATTCGGCAGCTATTACTCCAGTCTTCAGTGTCACGTGATCCTTCAGGAATCATTCTATTATGCTGATTTGACACTCAAGAAACATTTGTTGTTATTAGAAATGTTGAAACAGTTGTGGTGCTTTATATTTTTGTGAAAACTGTCCTATATTTTTCAGGATTCCTTGAACAAAGGTCAAAAGAACAGCATTTATTTGAAATAAAAATGATAAATGCCTTTACTGTCACTTTTGAACCATTGCATACATCCTTGCTGAATAAAAGTTCAATAAAAGTATTTAACTTTTCAAAAAAAAAAAAAATGTACTGACCCCAAAATCTTGAACGGTACTATATATACTGTACATTTGGTATTGTGGCATTACTGTTGGCCTCTATTTGGTCTCTATTTTGAGTTTGAGTATTTTTTCCTAATTTGTTAGTCATTTTATAGTCAGATCATGACCCAAGGATAGTGCTATAATGAATAATGATAAAACAGCACCGGGCACCGGACTCAGTCAAGATCTTCCAGAATTAATTCTGGAAAATAGTGTGTCTATGGTTCAGTAAATTCAATTTCAACATCACTCATACATGGACAAAATTAAATAAATAGACACAATGAAAGTGAAAAGTTGGTGGAAAAGAACTTATGTGCCAGACTTCATCTCCCATTCCTAGGGGAAAAAAAAAGGAGAACAGAGTGAGTACATAGGGGAAAATACATTATACGTATACACTGTAAACTGTAAAAGCAACTGGAGGATCATGCTTTTACATGAGAACCAGAATATGTTACCTGCTATTAATACCTAGTGTGATGTAGAAAATAAGTGTTTACTGACCTTGGCTTTCCTGAGGACGTGTCCTCGCACAGATGAGGCTTTCTGTTGTGTCTGACGCCGCAGCAGAGATGCACTGTTGACTGGCAGAGAGCAGGTCTCAGTGTCACTGGTGTCACAGCTGGAAATGGGCGAGTTGTCCACCGTTCGCCTCATTAACACTGGAGACTAAGAACAGATGATACATTTTAATTCCTGCTTTTCTCTATCACCAAAAACTGAACGTGACACAACCCTACAGTTAGCATTACATCATGTCTATGTTAGAGAAATTGCTGTTTTTCCAGACCTGTGGGCTGGAGCTGCCCGTTTTGGGTTCAATGGTCAGGCCCAGGGTGACGCCTCCATTCAAGGCTTTCTTCAGACTCTCCTTCACCTCTGTCAGCTCCAGTTCCAGATTGACTCGTTCCTCCTCTTTTAGTTTGCATTCATCCTCCACTTTCTTAAGTCTCTCTGTCAAAGATGCCTGAGAACGCTTACCTGTGTGAAATAAACGCCAGGAGAGGTTATAACTGTCACTTAAGAGACAATTTGAACTACTGCTTGATTTTATTTTCAAGACAGATCAGTGTTTCCTTTCCTGCTGCTGAATTTAAAGTCAAAACATGGTTTAAACATTTGTGTGCCAAATTAAATGTGATGAAACAAAACAAACAAAAATCATATAGAGAGAACTCGTGCAGACACTCATAACCTTGATTTGTGTCAAGGTCAGCAAGTCTTTAAAAATATCAGATAATTGTATCTTTTTATGACAAAAAAAATCTACAACAAAAGGTACAATTCTAAGTACACTACCGTGCAAAAGTTTGGCATCGCTCAGATTTTTCATGTTTTTTTTTTTTTTAAAGGAATCTTTTATGCAGTAATAGTGTGAAATATTATCAATTAAAAAAACTGTTTCCTATTTTATTATAATTTAAAATGTCATTTATTCATGCCATGGCTGAAGTTTCAGCAGCCATTACTCTAATCGTCAGTCACATGATCCTTCAGAAATCATTTTGATATGCTGATTTGGTGCCTAAGAAACATTCCCTATTAATATCAATGTTGAAAAACTTTTGTGCTTTTGTGAAATTTTGATAATTTTTTTTCAGGATACTTTAATGAATAGAAAGTTTATATACAGCATTTATTTAAAATAGAAATCTCTAAATCTCTAGTAACATTATAAATGTCTTTACTGTAGACATTTGTAATGTTAAGTATTTATTACCAAAACCTTTGAACGGTAGTGTACAGATTTTTCCTTTTTGTAATCTTGAACACTCAGATTCAACCATAATTGAATGTCATAGTCCCACTGACATCCTCACCTGTGTTGTTCTCTATAGCAGTGCGGAGGTCCTTCCTGTCTTTTTTCAGCTGGGCCAGGCGGTTTCGAATTTCCTGCTTCCTCTTCATCAGCTCCTCATCTTTAGCTTGGAGTTTCTTGGCATCTGCCTCCACTCTGTTTTTCCCGTACTTATACTGGTCCACACCTGTGAAGGTTAATGACGCATTATAATCAAAGTAAACCATGATCAGAAAATCTTTCAATTTTTAACTTTTGGATTCGGTCTCTTCATCACATTAAAGACCTCTGAAACCACAAACGCAGATTAAAAGGCAGACAGAATATACAGTATACCACATCCAAATAATTGCGAGTCCACGAAAATGGCCACTGGATGGTTAAGATGTCTGTGACTGACTGACTGACTGACTGCCTGTCTGAAATGGAATTTGGGGTGATTGAGTTTACAAAGGAGCATGTCAACAGATCCACTGCTGTCTAACAGTACTGCAATTTCCACATACCAGCATTCTCCACAAATCTGTGTGGCTTCTTTTTCCTTGAAAGAAATTAGTGGTGTAATAGCTAGGATAATGGATGCAGACTTAATGTCTGCTTAGTTTAGTTTGAGCCTTATGTCCACTTAAAAAAAAAAAGAAAGGTTCATTTTGAGATTATCTATCAGATGTGCTCTTATATGTTAAGATCTCTTACTAGAGTTGTTGTGTTTCACTGGAAGAGTTCTGCTAATTCCATTGGCCTTTTTGGGCTGGTTCTTGTCCAACTTCTGCTTTGCAGCGAACCCATTGGTGAGCAGGCCTTTCTTTCCCTTCAGCTGATTGGATGAAAGAAACACGTATGAGCTTTTGAACACACAAAAAAGGTGCAACTGATATGTTGGCCACTAACAAACATCTGATATTTAAGGACTTTGATTTCGCTGTTAACACCTGTTACATTTTAAAGGTGTGATTTGTGATTTAGTTCTAAGATTACTACTTCATACAAATTATTTCACAAAGGTTATATCCGAAAACCACATCTACTAAGCCACACATGTTGCTAGACGGGATATTTTCTTTTAGTTAAACTATAGCTGTCAGGAACGCGTGCGTCCTTGCTGAATAAAAGTATTAATTTCTTCAGAAAAAAATCTTACCTCTAACTTTCGAATGGTGAATGTACAAATATATTAAATATTTGGTATATTTATTAAAAATGTAACAAACAAATAAATAAATATAATGAATATAAAATGTATAATTTAAAGGGGTCATATGATGCTATTTTAAAGATCATTATTTTGTGTATTTGGTACAACAGAATATGTTGACATGCTTTAATGTTCAAAAAACACATTATTTTTCAAATACTGTACATTATTTTAGGTCCTCTATGCCCCGCCTCTCTCAAACGCTTCGTTTTCTACAAAGTCCCTCCTTCCGACAAGCGCAGTCTGCTCTGATTGGCCAGCTGACCCAGTGCATTGTGATTGGCCGAACACCGCAAGCACTCGTCGGAAATGTCAGATAATTATCTTGATAAAAACAAAGAGGGTTTTTTGAATAAGCACTGTAACTATAATATTATATAATATTTAATTAATTATATAAATACAATGTATTTTTTGTGTATTAAATATACTGTTGAACAGCAGTGTTTTGTTAATCATATATTATACTTAAATATTAAAAAATGTGAAGATGCAAATGCACTGCAGGAAACTTTTGGCCAAAGATACAATTTGTTAACCAGCTCTTTATGAACTGGTTCATTAGCATGAACTCTTCAAACGAACCAGTTCAGTCAAATTAATCAGACTTTCCAATGATACATACTGTATAAGAGAGAGTTTTTAAGAGAGCATATTAAAGCTCAAATGGCTATAAGGCTATGTGTGCAATACAATCGGAAAAAAATAATGCTATACCGCTATGTGTTGAAAAAGTAGGTTGTTAAAGAAGTTACTGGCATGCTAATGAAAATATTTTTAGCAGTACTGGGTTCCCACCAAAATGACTGCTTGGCCAGTTGAATGACATTAGCAGTGGTTTCGACGTCAATGTAATCGTAGTGCAGTGCAGCAGGATCTGTTGTGGAGCCCGTTTCGGCCAGCAAGACCCCCAGCCACCTTCCCATATTCTCAGAGGAGGAGGCCTGACAGGAAAAGAGTGAGGAAAGATGCAATGAATGAGTGTCAGTGGAATATGAGACAAATAAATCACTAATCTATGCAATCTCTGCAAATCCACTCTACACATGATACAGCAGAGCCAGCCAACCAAATCATCCATCTAATCCCTGCCCTGAGGTCCTGTCTCAGACACATTAATTGCCCCGCAAGAGCTGAGGGACTTGGCACGTACCTCCAGAACAGCCACCTCCTGTCCGTTGCGCAGCAGACGGAAGGCAAAGGGATGTTTGGAGTCCAGCCCTGGAATGACCTCACACCCCCGCAGCGGCAGAGAGGCCATGTGTGTCTTCAGATCTGCCCGGTCCTTGTGCAGCAACAGTTGGTTGTCTTTTAGCTGGCACCAGCGCTCTCTCCAGCGATTATTGGACAGCACATTCAGATAGCCTGTTAATGAAGGGTTGGGCCAACAGACCCACACACAAGCAGAATGTAAAATGTTGATGATAGAGTTGGGGGAATAATTATTAAAAAATGTTGCCAGTAATTTATATTTTCAGTTCAGTTTTTAAGGTTAATATTTTTTGGGAAAAGAAGAATTTTCTATTTGAATATATTTAAAAATTTAATTTATTGATGGAAAAGCAGAATTTTAGCAGCCATTACTCCAGTCTTCAGTGTCACATCCTTCAGAAATCATTCTAATATGCTGATTTGCTGCCCAAGAAATATTTCTTATTACTATCACTGTTAAAAACGGATTAATATTTTTGTGGAAACAGTGATACATATATTTTCAGGATAATTTGATGAATAGAAGTTTCAAAAGAACAGCATTTATTTGAAATATAATTTTTTTTAACATTATAGATTTTGTTACTGTACAGGACAATCTAAAATGTATGCCTAATAGTAAATATGGTTATAAATCTGATCAATTTAATGCATCCTTGCTGATTAAACAGTAGTATATTTGTGCAAATCACCAAGTCCTATAGAGATAAAACAAGTGAGTACAATTTTGCAATACATCACAGTTGTATACTATACAGATAAACAAAGAATAACAATATCATAAAACCGTTAGCCCATATTGATGTAGTATCACATTGTCAGGTCCCTACTGCTGCTACTTTGGTTATTTAATAAACTGACATTACATTATCTAACTTCAGTGATTTTCTGAATTTTTTGAATCAGGACTGACAATTCGTAAAAATATTAATAGAACTACAGTCAACAACTAGAATGCTTCAGTATCAAACTTGAGGGGCTATCAACCACTAATGTTAGGACTCTCATGTTATGAAAATGGCAAAAATCGTGGTATTGTGTGGCTGGAGAGAAGACAATCCTTTGTTTGGGTAATGTGTTTAAGAGGTGGAGAAAGAAAAATCCTAGATGGAAAAAAACTATACAGCAACTAGTTTTGGCAGCATATCTGAGAGGATGAAAACAATCGGAGCTGCCTAAAACAGATATAACAAAATAATATGCATTCAAAGTTCAAAGTCTTGATATTTACTACCTCTATCTGTCACTATGGATATTACAGACATTATTTAGTGACTGACTTCAGTTAGCTGGTCATAAAGGCATTATTCTACCTGTATGTATAGGGCAATCTAAAATGTATGCCTATTAGTAAATACAGTTATAAATCTGAACACAGACTGTGTGAATGAAACCACTGTCATCAGTGAACATACACTATTCTAAAGTTTGGGGTCAGTATTATGCTTTTTAAATAATTTTTTTTTTTACTCCGCAAGGATGCATTCAATTGATAGTAAAGACATTCATAATGTTTAACAAGATTTGTTTAAAATAAATGCGGTTCTTTTAAACTTTCAAAGAAGCATCCTGAAAAAATTACCACAGTTTCCACAAAAATAAGTAGCACAGCTGTTTTCAACATTGATAATAACAAGAAATGTTACTGTTACATATTAGAATAATTTCTGAAGAATCACGTGACACTGAAGACTGGAATAATGGCTGCTGAATGTTAAGCTTTATGATCACAGGAATAAATTACATTTTAAATATATATTAAAATGAAAACAGTTGTTATAAATTGTGATACTATTTTACAAAATTTGAATATTACATTTAAAAATCTTTACCAACCCCAAACTTTTGAATGGTAGCGTATATCAAAATGGTATTGCAACAACTCACCACATGTTGGGACATCCTCCTCCGCCGATGAGGTCTGTTCATCTGTAGATGGTTTTTTCTTGCCCAGGCTTATGATTTTAGTGATTTTCTTTCCAGTCACACGTCCCACCGTGCCTTTCTGCTCTGATTTAGAGTTCTTCTTGCCTTTGGCTGCAAAAAAAAAAAAAAAGGCAAATTAGTGTCAGAGTGTGAAATATATGTATGAGATTTTATGAAGTAATATATTATACAGATAGGCTAGTTATCTAGAAACCAGTTGGTGTTGCAACTATAACAAGGGATGGGTTTGGAAAATATTTTGTTTGTGGGGTGGATTTGGTGGGGAAAAGATTATTATATTATTTTATTTTATAAAAAGATTATAGAATTATGGAAAATGACAAATCTGTTAGTAATTTAGACCAGAGAGTAAGAGGCTGAACTGACAATGACAGGACAAGTCTTCAGACTTGGAATCCAAATCCTAAACAGTGCGTGAAACCAACTCTGTTCTTCTCCAAGTTGTTCAGATACTTTTATCTGATGAGTGTGGTCTGTGGTTAATGGTATTGTAAGAAACAAAAGATCTAGAAAAACAAACTTGAGCACTGAAAGTGAAAGGACACACTGTGGAAAACCGTTCAGGTCACATCCTATTCCAAACCAATGGTGGACAATGTGAGCAAACTAGCAGTATGGGATTTGGACTGGGTTAAAATGTGTAAGACACTGCAGCACAACAAATTACAGGCTTTTCTCCATTCTCCAAAAGACCAACTACAAAGGCAGCTCAGAAGGACAAAGAATACATAAAAAGAGTGACACTCTTGCTCTTCTGAAGGACTGACTTGGTCCAAGTGATGAGGTATGAGGCAAAACCCAGAGGCACAGATGCAAAAATCATTGGCCCTTAAAGGACCTATACAGACATAGTTTTTCATTTTATCATGAAGGAAAATTCTGCGATCAGGCTAATATGATTTCACAGCGTCTCGGCACTTACGACAGCTGGAAAGAATATGCCGAATCTGATTCATCTGCATGGTTTTTTAAAATTTGCTTTCATCAAAGAAGTGCAGCAGTTGGCTACTGGTTTGATGTAAGAATATCTCAGGTGCTATCAGACAGAGACAGAGGAGATCAGATAGAGATGGTTTGTGTTTCTGCTCCCAAGAAACGCTACCCTAAATTTTTTGTTATAAAATAAAAAAAATACCTTTTTCATTACCGTTCCATAACCTTACACTTTTACAGGAATTATTATATGACGCCAGTCCTTGTTTATCCGTAGGTTTATCAGAGGTCAGCTGCCATAACTCATGTGAAAACAGCACAGCAGTTCCCTTTCAGTCATTCACGTTCTACGTTACGTCAGTCGCGACTGACGAATTGGGATCTCGCCTGAGAGCCCAATCACCTTTGAGTGTAAACTAAACAAGCCAATGACAGTTGGCGTGCGTGTTTCGCCACGTGCACCCCTCCCCGCAGCGCGGGTATAAAAGGAGAGCGCGTGCAAATGCACATCAGCTTTTCGCTTCGGAGCCGAGCCTTCTACAAGATGAATCTCCGCAAGTGTTTGGAAACAGCTGGCGTTGGTGTTACGGCGTGTCAGCGGGGGTTGCCATCCAGGCTGCTGAAACCTCGGCGAGCTGCAGCTGCCATTCTGCGGTCTCGCCGCGACCTCCCCTGGGCGCTTCAGCGCTCTCTCTAAAAGAGTGTTTGTTCTTTTAAAAAAAAAGAGCAATTTCTAAAAGAGCTTCACGAACGACGGGCGTCTTTTTAAAGATGGCTTCCCACTCGTGCGTTTCTGAATGTGGTCGCTTCCTGGCTTCATCTGATGGTCATGATCGCTGTGTCTCGTGCCTGGGCTTGCAGCACGCTGAAGCAGCGCTCATGGATGAGTCAGTTCTCAGTGCGGGAACATGACCATTGAGACGTTGCGGTCTAGATACCTCCTCATTAAATGACAGGATGTCGATCGCTGCATCGGAGGGCGAGCTAGGCTCTGGAGATGAGGATTCGGCTGTGCTGCCTCCGTCAGGAAGAGTGGCGTTGCCCGAGTCAGATCCAGAGCTGACCGCTATGCTTTCCCGGGCCGCCGAGAGTGTCGGGCTGCACTGGAGGCCTCCTCCTTCTCCCGAATGCTCGAGGCTGGATGATTGGTTCCTGGGGGCGCAGGCCGGGCATCGGCAGCCGCCTCCGGTTCCATTCTTCCCAGAAGTACATGAGGAGGTTATTAAGTCATGGGAGGCACCTTTTTTTGCCCGAAACAGATTGGTGCCTCCTCCGTCCAAACCACCCTCGACGGTGGGGCGGCCCAAGGGTATGTGGACATCCCCTCAGTCGAGCACACTATTGCTATGCAGCTCTGCCCCCAAAGCGCCGCCGCCTGGAGAGGTAGTCCACGCCTTCCGTCCAGGGCCTGTAAGTTCTCGTCCGCGCTGACGGTTAAGGCTTACAGTGCTGCTGGACAGGCCGCTTCCGCCCTGCACGCCATGGCCCTCCTGCAAGTCCACCAGGCCAAGGCGTTGAAGCAGTTGCACGAGGGTGGTGCTGACCCAGGTGTGCTGCAGGAACTGCGCACGGTGACGGACCTCGCGCTTAGGGTGACGAAAGTCACGGCGTGGGCCCTGGGTCAGACGATGTCCACATTGGTGGTCCAGGAGTGCCCCCTAAGGCTGACCTTGGCGGATATGAGGGAGGCCGACAAGCATCGCTTCCTGGACTCCCCGATCTCCCAGGCCGGCTTATTCGGTGAAGCGGTGGAGGGCTTTGCCCAACAGTTCTCCACTGCGCAGAAGCAGACGGAGGCATTTCGACATATCCTGCCCCGGCGGTCTGCTGCGGTCTCCACTCCACCGCCGGCTGCAGCCCCTCTGTCTGCTCGTCGCCGAGGGCGCCCTCCTGCGGCCTCCACCTCCGCTCCGGCGCGGCCACAACAGCAGCCTTCACAACGGCCGCAGCATGGAGCTGGCCGCAGGAAACCGGCGCAGCCCGCCTCCGCCCCTGCCAAGCCCGTGAAGCGCCAGGGCAGGCAGCGTCCCTGAGATGGGCGACCCGGAGCTCTTGGATCCTGCTCTTCAGGAGATGGTGACCGCACGACTCCTTCCCCTGAAGGAGGGCCGGGTGGAGAATCTTTTGTTCCCGTTTGTTTCTGTTCCGCCACTGGCTACCCAGCCGGTGGTAAGGCCTGGTTAGCGCTCCCCAGGCTGTCCCGCTGGCTCATGAGAACCATCAGACTCGGCTACACGATTCAATTTGCCCGGCATCCTCCCAAGTTCAGGGGCATTCGGTTCACCTCTGTGCTGGACAGGGATGCTCCTATCTTGCGTGCAGAGATCGCGGTCCTGCTGGCGAAGGACGCGATACAGCCGGTCCCTCCAGCTGAGATGAGGTCAGGTTTCTACAGCCCATACTTCATCGTACCCAAGAAAGGCGGTGGGTTACGACCGATCCTGGACCTGCGCGTAACGTCTCGGTTACTTGTGTAACCCTCGTTCCCTGAAGGAGGAAACAGAGACGTTAAGTTCCATCGCCACAGTTGCTGTACCACTAGTGTACGGCCGGGGCGCGTAGTCTCGGATCCTCAGCGAAAAACTGATGTGCGTTTGCACGAAACACGCACGCCAACTGTCATTGGTTTGTTTAGTTTACACTCGAAGGAGATTGGGCTCTCGGGCGAGATCCCAATTCGTCAGTCACGACTGACGTAACATCTCCATTCCCTCCTTCAGGGAATGAGGGTTACACAAGTAACCGAGACGTTACTGCGGCTTGTGGCTGTGATACTGAGCTATCAATCATATGGGTTTGCAGATTCGCAAGTTTTGGATTCCACTAAAATTAGGCAATTCTTCACCAACACATCTAAGGTAAGACAGTCTCAAATTGAAAAAAAAAGAATTTCCACAGACCTGAAACAGATGTCTCGAAAAGTTAAATCCCAGATCGAGACAACGTGGTGTAAATACTTGATAAATAATATTAGATTATTTAAGAAGGGTCTCCTTGCCTTGACTTTGGCGCTGTTCAAACAATGGGATTTTTCAATTCAAATAAACATCCACTTTGTGGGATTACAATTTGTTTTTTCAAGTACTGTTACTCTGCTGTTTTACCAAGTTTGTTTTTTTGTTTTAACCAAAAAAAGTTCAGATTTAAAGTTCACTTCATGAATTAAAACACTAACAAATAATATATATAATAATATTAAATAAAATAATAATATAATAATAAATAAAATTTTTCCTTTCTCTTTGGAGTGTTACAAGCTCTTGGTGCATAAAGAAGATCTGTAAAGTTGCAAAGACTAAAGTCTCAAATCCAAAGAGATATTCTTTATAAAAGTTAAGTGTCAACCACGCCTACCTAAAACGGCTCATTCTAACACGCCCCCACATGTCTACGTCACGATGTGAGAAGATTTGCATAACACCGCCTAAATTTTCATGCAAAGAAAGAAGGCGTAACTTTGATTCTCTCTGTAGTATTGTTGTTGCCACTGCCGCCATGTCGTGAAGGCATTTTTTTGGCCTTCCAAAAGAGGACGATATCTGCTTCGTCATGCCTGGAGCTGATCCGTGATGGTTGCTGAGGAAATACAACAACTTTGAAACGGCTCATTCTAACACGCCCCCACATGTCTACGTCACGATGTGAGAAGATTTGCATAACACCGCCTAAATTTTCATGCAAAGAAAGAAGGCGTAACTTTGATTCTCTCTGTAGTATTGTTGTTGCCACTGCCGCCATGTCGTGAAGGCATTTTTTTGGCCTTCCAAAAGAGGACGATATCTGCTTCGTCATGCCTGGAGCAGATCTGTGCTGGTTGCTGAAGAAATACATCAACTTCGCGATGTGGATCGCCAGAATGGCTTTCACCGTGGACGAAGTGGAGTCCAGCCCACTTCCGTTGTCACATGTGGTTGCCGTGCCGTTCTCAAGCCTCACTCTAGCCCGCCGTGTGTTTCGTTGTGAGAGCAAAACTACTTTGTTTGGCCTTCCAAAAGAGGACACGACTAGAAATCGGTGGATAAGTTGTATTTACAACACTGTTCCAGAACAGTTCAACCCAGATATTCAGATGTGTCAAGCGCATTTTATGGAGAACTGTTTCCTGATCCTGGTAGAGTAGACTACAATGCCGGCTGTTCTGACTCACAGACTGTCAGTAAATTTTTCATATTTAAAGAATTTGCCACTGACGATTCAAATGTGAGTTTTGAGCAATGTAGAGTAGCACTTGTTGTTTGTCATTTCTCCGATCACAAATGCAGACATGGTTTTATGTTCACGCAACGCGTAAAAAGACTGTATAATCCATAATTATGTCCCCACTGGATGCAACAAATGCCTCGTTTATAATGGGTTTTAATGTTTTGTCTTGTCACTCCGGCAGGACAGGGCATCACAGTATGGTAAGGGGCGTAACATTTCCATCACACGCTTGAGGTATTCGGCCAATCACAACGCACTGGATAGCTGGTCAGTCAGAGCACACAGAGCTTTGTAAAAATCAACGCGTTTCAGAAAGGCGGGGCATAGAGGAGAAACAATAATGTACAGTATGTGGAAAATAATGTGTTTTTTTTTACCTTAAACCACATAAACAAATTTCATTACACCAAATACACAAAATAATGTTCTTTTTAGCAACATCATATGACCCCTTTAAATACAGTGATTTTAGCTAGTAACTGACAGGTGTAACGAAGAGTCAGAGGCATGCGGATCCATTTGCAGCTTTATTCTAATCAAAGGCAGAGTTAAACAGGCAGTAATCAGTCAACAGAGTCACGAACACCAGGGATAATCCAGGAGAATAAACAGTAACAGAGCGAGGGTCGGGGCAGGCGGCAGAGAATCACACTAGTAAGAACAGTCCGAGGTAATACCCAAGAGATGACAAGCCAGAAATGTAGCCGGGGCAATACAAAACTTCGTGAACACTGAGAGTCTGGGAGCTGCTTAAATAGGGAAGCTAAGGGGAAACACCTGTGCCAGTAATCAATCCCAGGTACGGGGTGTATGGGAAATGTAGTCCATGGACATTAGTACTCGGGAGAGGGTGCCCTCCGGAGGCCGTCGGAGAGAGCCACAGAGGCCTGATTCGTGACAACAGGTTTTCCAAGCACAATTCAGCAGTCAAAAACAACTGACAATTGATTGACAAACTGATGCTGAAAATATTTATTATTAAAAATATTATTTAAATATCACTAAATCAACTCATCAAATACTAATTAAAACCTGTCAAACACTGAATCACATATTTTAGAGAGACAGACAGCTATAGATAGATTAGCTTCTTACCAGTTTTTACAGTGTATGACACAAAATACTCTCCCTTTACATGGACTCTACAACTGTCGTCTCCAATGATATGAACCAAAAAAAGGACTGAACAAAGACTCACCTGGATCTTTGCCATCTGAGATGCCATTTTCATGACAGGGCTCTCCATCTGAACTGGGTCGATCGCAGGACAGCTTCTGCAAAACAAGAGTAAGGTTACAGGTATGCTTGCAGTTACAGAGAAAACATGCATTTTAGCAGGAGAGTGAACGGCACAAATAACAGTGGATTCATTGTTAAATTTAATGACAAATTGTTTATAGAGAGACACATTATATACATACACAAAGAGTATGGAATACTAAAGTGCATACACACATCTCTGCAGTCTACCCAAACAAAACTCGGAGCGCATCTGTTTTGCATTAAGTGTGAATAATTAGACTGGGCTCATGCATGATGTGCCAGTTTAAGAGGTTTGACATTAAACCCCCTTTAGATCTGTCTTAAAAACAGAAAACACACATAAACAAGTGCAACATGCGCACGCTGCAAAAATAATGTCACAGCATACTGCATATTAAAGAATGTGTTCTAAAAAATTATAAGATCACATTTCCTCCCACACCTTTTTAACCTTGTCAGCAGAAGACATCCATAGCAAGCTGTGCAGGAATACAAATAGGAGGCGCCTGTGCAGGGTACTGAGGTGTGGTGAAGCTGGCAAGCATGCAAAAGTCTCACAAACCTGCATGTAGGTAGACCAACATACTCTGCAGGCATAGTAACCCCACACCCACACATGCAAAGTATTATACATAATTAGAATTATGAATTTGCACCTTTTCCAGCTCTGCTTTGTGAACTGGGGAACCAGAACCAGCTCCTTCACAGTCCACCACTCCATTTCCATTAGAGCAGACTTCCTTCATCACCTTAAAGAGACCACAGAACAAAAAGTTGAAGTGCAAAATAACAGGCAGAAATTCTATATTTCTCAATATCCCATTTTTAAATGAATGGGAATGCTTGTTCTATTATAAATAAAGAAACACTGATCAATTAAAAAAAAATGGTGGCATTAAAAAATGCTATTTTTATGATGTTTAACAGGGTTCCAACACTTTTTGCTCAATGAATTTCATGACTTTTCTGGAATTAAGATAAAAAAAATATTTTTTTAATTATTGCACTCAGAAAGATCAATTTACTGTAGCTGATATATATTTTACGTTAATAAATACAGGTAGAAAGCAATAGAAAACAAATGACATTAACTAGAGAAATTTTCTTAAACCTATAAAAAAAGAGCAATTTTTTGGTCAATATATAGTTTTAAAATATGATTTGAAAATTTAAGACTTTTCCAAGACTTTATTATTGTATTAGATTGTTTTAATTTTCACGATTTTTCCGGGTTTAAAAATTTTATTCTATTTTCCATGGGAACCCTTGAATAGTCTGAAACTTTCTTTGCTCCCAGTCAAACAGATAACACAAACTCTCCACCACCTCCACGTTCTGCCATGCACATGCGCTCAAATGGATTCTGCACGTCACATGCAGTTGGCAGTGCAGCTGGAAGGCTGTTACGTGCGTCATTGCTCTCGTGGCTGTCTATGCGCTGTGCAGTGGCTCTGTGTGAATGAGATATCCAGAGATCTCCAGACTGCACAGACTCTTCGCCACCACATATAAGTGTGACCTCACATTACCTGGGGGTAACGTCCAAAAAAAAACCATAACCAGTGGTGTCGAGTGAACAAGATGGACACAGAGATCCATCACAAAGTGAGAAGCTCACCTTTACACACCCTACACAGCCCCTTCCCAAACTGCCCCCATGCCAAAGACCCATATATATCTAAATATCCTTGAGCTCCTCTGAGCATCGTAACTTGACGTGCTGTTGGGGTTTGGCAACCGGTTTACATAATTGGGCTCATGGGAAAATTACAGGCTGTGGCCTCACTCTTTGGCTTTGACAGCAAAGTGGGTTTCTGGGATACGCTCAGTCAAAAAATCTTTTGTGCTGTGCTAATGTGCCCTCATTAGCAATTGATATTTTCAAATGAAGAGTTAATATGGAGAACTACTGCATGAAATCCAACAACCAAAGTCAAAGTTACAAGTCAAACAAATGTTTGTAGACATTCAAACTTTGAGTTGTAACGCAAAACTGTCACAATAGATAGTGAAGAGAAGCAAAGCCAATGACGAGCATTCAGCATAGGCAGTAATTAACAATTTCACACCAATCAGCACACAAACACAAACCTACACACTCAGTAGTTAATAAAATGCAACGCAACAGAAAGCAGGAAGTGACAAGAAGAATAAAACTTTCAACATTATACAATGGTCACGTTCATTGATACAATAGACAAAGACTAACATGAGAACAAATGCACTCCATATCTTACCATTCCCGCCAAGGGCAGAGGAGAGTCAAAAGACAAAAAATAGAGAAGAAAGAAGAACGAAGGGAAGACGAAAGACAGGAGGTGGAATTTCCCCAGGCCTGTCCAAAGGATCAGAACAGAGGAGCTACACGGGGAGAACTAATCGAATAAAGACTGGAAGAGAGAGAGAGAACAAAGAGGAAAACAATGCAGTGGAGAGATACAACACTAAAGCTAATTAAAAATGAAAAACAACAAGCCAACATTATCCATAAATAAATCATTAGCAAACCGGATAAAGCATTAATGGGCCACAGACACCTCTGGGCTTCTATAATGTTCCTCAATTTTTATTCCATTAAAGCTTAAAAAAGTTTCCTTGTCGCCTAATATTCCACTAATTGTACTGTCTCCCATAAAAAAATGTAGTTCCACTTAAAAAAAACCCCCCTGATTTTAATTGAAGCATAGCAAAACTGAACACATTCTGAAAAAAACTCATCTTGTGAATATTTAAAAGAGAATCAGTGGATTATTTACTATGTTATTAATGATCTAATGTCTAGTGACTAATGATTTAATGTCTAGAAAAAATGACATTAACAAGAAAAATTTTGAAATAATTTTGCAAAAAAAAATTATGCACTTAAAAAGAGCAAATTTCTAATTGCAATAATTTATTTGATTTAGTTTTAATTGGAGCGTGAATAATATTTTTTAAATAAATAAACTGGACTAGAGAAATTGTATCACTTTCCCAAGACTGTTAAGATTTTCATGATTTTTCCAGGCCTAGAAAATTATAATTATATGGGAGACATTAGATGCAGAATAAAAAAAGTGGAATATTCAAGTTTCTTTGGAATAAATAATTTACCAGGTTATTACTGAAGTTAGAGAGAATATGCTTCTTCATTTTGGGAATGAGTCCTTACGCACCATTGAGTTGTTGGGTGCAGTACCGTCACAAGGGCTGTGCCAAGTGTGCGACCGCATAGGGCCTCGCGCCTCTAGAGGGCCTTGCTCCTGGCCTGCATTTTATGTAGTTTATGTCTAATTTTTATTACTGTTTTTCCACCCATTTTGTCCTATGAAAGACTAAAATAGTCATAGCTGATAGACAGTATAAGACTCTGTGTACAGTATAAGAATGAGTAAAGCTGTTTGTTGTTAGGATGACAAAAAGTTTTAAAAGTAAAACTTTTAGGCTGGTCTGCTTCAGTGGACCAATAGCGCTTGTCAATGTCAAAATGATCGAGATGGCCAATCAAATCAAAGAAGGCGGGTCTTACTGTCACTGTCACAACACAACAAGAGTTCGTAGAAAGATGAAAGTAGTACTCTATTAGACAACTGTTTTACGATAGTAATGTTTACTGATTGACAGTAATAAGACTATCTAGTGATGCAAACTACTCAACTTTTTATGAAATTTTGAAACTGAATTGATTGAAATTGAATTGAAAATATGCGATCATGATTCATGTAAATCATAAATGAATGTGAAAAGAGACGCTTGCGTTTTTTCGACTATTAGACATACGAATAAGAGTGAATGTGCACATTTTAAAATAAAATATTATTTTCAAATAGTGTAAATTGATTACTACTTTATATGAAGAGTTCAGATGCAAAAGCCTCTGTTTTCAAAAAGTGTAGTTTGAAATCTTCTTCTAAAATGAGCTAAAATGAGGCTCCTATGTGTAGGTTCAGTAATTTCACTTTAATGGCAATGGATAGTTTATTTTCTTTCCCATTAAAGTAAAATAACTGAACATAAACATGAGTCTGAGAAAATAACCATTTTAGAAGAACATTTTAGATGGCACTTAGAGGCTTTTGCATCAGAACTCTTCATATATAACTACAAACCTATAACTTATTTTAGCATTCTTATTTACTTATTTAATTGCTTTATTATTATTATTATTATTATGCAGTAGATCTTATGAGCGTGTGCGTGACCGTGATTCAAGCATGTCAGTGAGCACGGCATCACAATCGATCAGATGCGTGTTAAAGTTGCATTCATTACTATAGTAACCCCCTCCCACACACAAAATTGCTGAGGGCCTCGCACGTCAAATTCGCACAGGGCCTCGCACCCGCCTTGCGACGGCCCTGGTTGGGTGTACAGTGTGTGCATGATTGAAACACAATACAACAAATCCCTTCAAGGAAGGGTGGTTTCTGTTTATCCCAAGCAGAAATCAATTACTCCAGTATGTTTTTAGTACATGACACCTGACCAAACAGCACAGAGCTTTGCCCCCTTCCTAAACAACAATTACAGCTGCTGTTGCTTTCCCGGGCTGTATATTTGCACAGTCTGATGTCCACACCCACTTGAAGGTGCTGTACAGCTAACTGCATGTGCCTTCCTGCCCGCAAATCAATAAAGAGAAGCTCGTTACCATATGGAAACATAGTTTGTCTTTATAAACAGAGCCACCAGAGGAGTGATGGACAGTAATGAGGGAACTGCAATTTCTATCAATCGTCCATTGACTGCAGCTGGTTTTGATGATTTATCTGCAGTATAAGTTGCTTTCAGTTTATAAACTCAAAGATCCATCACACGAGAGCTCAGAGACTTTCACTGGCACTGTTCACAATGTTTGTGAAAACCAGATGTGGAGGAAAACAGCTTTAAATAGATGTAGAACAGACTATCAAAGTAACAAGTTATCAACAAACTCAATCTTCAGAGCCGTTAAGATTAAAATCCTTTGAACTTAAACCAAGAAACACTTTTTAAAGTTTAAGCTCACACAAGACTTGCGCATGGAGTTGAAATGAACTGCAGCCGGATATAATTTAAATATGTTGATGTGACACCCGAGAACAAAGATGTAATATATAGTTCTGTATTTAGTATGTACAGGGCAACCTGCTTTTAACCCAACACACCCAACTGAACACAAACACTGAACAGCTGGACCTGAGGACTGCTACTGCTGGTTTGTTTAACTTCTGTGCTGAAAAGACGAGCATATCCGTGTGGTTCACCAGAAAAACTTGCAGGTCTACAGCTGCTTTCTAATAAGCTACTCCAGATTTTCATAATTGAGCACAATCCTTTGAATATGAGCCTAGCACTTTTTGAGCTGTCTGGTTACCTTTAGCCACTCTTCGGCCTGTTCTTTGCTCTGTACGGCAAGCACCAGAGCATCAGCTCCCTGATGGACGATCTTCAGTTCATGCTTCTTTTTCTTGCCGTCTTTGGGAATGTGTGTGATGCTGCAGCCAGACAGGAGGAGCTCCATCTGTGGAGTCTGGTCTTTGGAGGACTTGTAGCACTTAGAGAAAGAGAGATGCATTAAGGAAGCTATTTAGCTTATAAATATTTTCCGCTGAAATAATTTTGTTTACACACTACAACATAAGCTGAGTCAAACCAAGCAGAATCGCTTAGAAATAGAAGCAATGTGAGAGTGGGTTAAGATGTGCCAGTGGGTAAACTGAGTTACATTGATAATCATGCAAACTGTGCAATTTTCAAGTGACCATACATTTAGGCAAATCATATACAGCTTCCTGTGATTATGAAATGCACATAAAATAGATAAGGATGAGAAAAGTTGCATTTTTATTTTAAAAATAATACTAATTCTCCATGTCAAGGTACTTTTTTACATGGCAAGCAAGTTACATAAATGTAAAATTTCAAAGCAAACCTATTCAGAATTAAAAATAGAATTACTTATGTAGAAAAGTAAATTGTTAGACTAAACATTTACCATTAATTATTAAATTAAGTATTTTTCCTAAAATAGCTCTGTGGGGTAAAGTGTGCCAGATGCTGTACTATTGCAACTTAAAGTAAGCTTTGTCTCCAAATACATAAAATGTATTGCAAATTGTTTAAATGTCTTTTCACTGCATTAAAATAATCTGAATATTAAAATTTTATGAAAATGTGAAAAATGTGCAATACTATAAAGACCTTAGCAGCATGACATTTATTTTACTAATGAACTATTTCCCCGCCAGCATTTTTGAAAAAAGTTGCCAGCCACCACGTTTTTGCTGAGTTTCACTAAAATTTCATGGCCCCTAGAATATTTTGTTGTATGAATATCTAAACATGCAATACATCAAAATAAAGATCAGACCCTCTACTTTCAAACAAAAAATTCTGTTTTATTCTAACTTTTTCTAACTTAAGTTTTTTCATCAACACTTGAATGTAGGTAGGTTTCATAAAAAACAACATTTTGAGCAAAAAGCTGAGAAAATCTAATTTTTTTTTCAAATACTAGATCTGGATCATATTCAGTAATATTATCAAAGCAAAGATGCAGTAGATGGCTTCCATCAGTACTCCCAACGCTTGTACAGGCCTTTACCACTTCCTGGATTGACATTTCACTCTATAACATTAGGCAGTTTTCACTTATATGCGGTTAGTGTTGATGATGGTATTATTTTTCATATGCATACATATGAGATCGCTCATTTCTGTCTTCCCGATCTGTGTTTTTGATCGGCACATTCAAGACTCATTCAGGAGATGCGTAATAGCGCCCCCTAGTATGTATGGAGATAGAATTGTTGCTTAATTCCAAATAAATAGATTATGATCCACAAATAAATAGAATGAGATCCACAAATAAATCTTAGTTTCACAAACATGAATTAAATTCACAAATAAATAAAATGAGATTTGCAAATAAAAAAACATATTCACAAATATATATTTATGTCACAACCACAACTTTGCCTGGCATTTATTTGTGAATCGCGTCCTGTGCATTTGTAGATAGCTGCACGCATTTGTGAATCGTGTCCTGTGCATTTGCGAATTGTGAAGCATTTCTTGCATCAAGACGTGCTGACAATCCACAAATACGTGGACTCCACCCAGCGTCTACAAGCGTCAAGCCAATCAGATAACAGCCACATTCGCTGACCAATCGTAGCACGATCTCGCTATAGCCAATCACGTTTTGCTTTACAATCAGGGCGGTCTCATCCTGAGATAACTTCATGCATCTGCATTGGCTCAAATAGGTCATATAAGGGCCATACAATGGGTACAGTAAAATATGTTTAAAATTGGATTTCGTTAGACCATTAGACTGTGTATCATGCCAAGCCACAGTATTTTATGTTACTTGCCTTTGAAAATGCCAGAGAAAGCTTTAAATCACGGCTATATGGGAACAACACTATACTGTATTCAAACGCGATATGGAATCATTTATTCAGTATGGAAATAAAAGTGTCAATAAGTAACTGACTAATAAATAACTAAACTCAACCTCATAATAAACATTTGTTTGTGTAATAGGTTAAATTGCCATCACACAACAGCCAACAGCATTTCCCAGTTTTTCAGTCAAGTCGATGTATATGAGCTGCTATGTGGATCTAACGATGTATGAAGTTTTTGATATTCTGTGGTGGTCACAGCAGTAATAGAAATTAATCTACCAATAAGCTTAAATATACTTAAAAAGAGCAAATTTCTAATTGCAATAATTTATTTGATTTAGTTTTAATTGGAGCGTGAATAATATTTTTTAAATAAATAAACTGGACTAGAGAAATTGTATCACTTTCCCAAGACTGTTAAGATTTTCATGATTTTTCCAGGCCTAGAAAATTATAATTATATGGGAGACATTAGATGCAGAATAAAAAAAGTGGAATATTCAAGTTTCTTTGGAATAAATAATTTACCAGGTTATTACTGAAGTTAGAGAGAATATGCTTCTTCATTTTGGGAATGAGTCCTTACGCACCATTGAGTTGTTGGGTGCAGTACCGTCACAAGGGCTGTGCCAAGTGTGCGACCGCATAGGGCCTCGCGCCTCGCGCCTCTAGAGGGCCTTGCTCCTGGCCTGCATTTTATGTAGTTTATGTCTAATTTTTATTACTGTTTTTCCACCCATTTTGTCCTATGAAAGACTAAAATAGTCATAGCTGATAGACAGTATAAGACTCTGTGTACAGTATAAGAATGAGTAAAGCTGTTTGTTGTTAGGATGACAAAAAGTTTTAAAAGTAAAACTTTTAGGCTGGTCTGCTTCAGTGGACCAATAGCGCTTGTCAATGTCAAAATGATCGAGATGGCCAATCAAATCAAAGAAGGCGGGTCTTACTGTCACTGTCACAACACAACAAGAGTTCGTAGAAAGATGAAAGTAGTACTCTATTAGACAACTGTTTTACGATAGTAATGTTTACTGATTGACAGTAATAAGACTATCTAGTGATGCAAACTACTCAACTTTTTATGAAATTTTGAAACTGAATTGATTGAAATTGAATTGAAAATATGCGATCATGATTCATGTAAATCATAAATGAATGTGAAAAGAGACGCTTGCGTTTTTTCGACTATTAGACATACGAATAAGAGTGAATGTGCACATTTTAAAATAAAATATTATTTTCAAATAGTGTAAATTGATTACTACTTTATATGAAGAGTTCAGATGCAAAAGCCTCTGTTTTCAAAAAGTGTAGTTTGAAATCTTCTTCTAAAATGAGCTAAAATGAGGCTCCTATGTGTAGGTTCAGTAATTTCACTTTAATGGCAATGGATAGTTTATTTTCTTTCCCATTAAAGTAAAATAACTGAACATAAACATGAGTCTGAGAAAATAACCATTTTAGAAGAACATTTTAGATGGCACTTAGAGGCTTTTGCATCAGAACTCTTCATATATAACTACAAACCTATAACTTATTTTAGCATTCTTATTTACTTATTTAATTGCTTTATTATTATTATTATTATTATGCAGTAGATCTTATGAGCGTGTGCGTGACCGTGATTCAAGCATGTCAGTGAGCACGGCATCACAATCGATCAGATGCGTGTTAAAGTTGCATTCATTACTATAGTAACCCCCTCCCACACACAAAATTGCTGAGGGCCTCGCACGTCAAATTCGCACAGGGCCTCGCACCCGCCTTGCGACGGCCCTGGTTGGGTGTACAGTGTGTGCATGATTGAAACACAATACAACAAATCCCTTCAAGGAAGGGTGGTTTCTGTTTATCCCAAGCAGAAATCAATTACTCCAGTATGTTTTTAGTACATGACACCTGACCAAACAGCACAGAGCTTTGCCCCCTTCCTAAACAACAATTACAGCTGCTGTTGCTTTCCCGGGCTGTATATTTGCACAGTCTGATGTCCACACCCACTTGAAGGTGCTGTACAGCTAACTGCATGTGCCTTCCTGCCCGCAAATCAATAAAGAGAAGCTCGTTACCATATGGAAACATAGTTTGTCTTTATAAACAGAGCCACCAGAGGAGTGATGGACAGTAATGAGGGAACTGCAATTTCTATCAATCGTCCATTGACTGCAGCTGGTTTTGATGATTTATCTGCAGTATAAGTTGCTTTCAGTTTATAAACTCAAAGATCCATCACACGAGAGCTCAGAGACTTTCACTGGCACTGTTCACAATGTTTGTGAAAACCAGATGTGGAGGAAAACAGCTTTAAATAGATGTAGAACAGACTATCAAAGTAACAAGTTATCAACAAACTCAATCTTCAGAGCCGTTAAGATTAAAATCCTTTGAACTTAAACCAAGAAACACTTTTTAAAGTTTAAGCTCACACAAGACTTGCGCATGGAGTTGAAATGAACTGCAGCCGGATATAATTTAAATATGTTGATGTGACACCCGAGAACAAAGATGTAATATATAGTTCTGTATTTAGTATGTACAGGGCAACCTGCTTTTAACCCAACACACCCAACTGAACACAAACACTGAACAGCTGGACCTGAGGACTGCTACTGCTGGTTTGTTTAACTTCTGTGCTGAAAAGACGAGCATATCCGTGTGGTTCACCAGAAAAACTTGCAGGTCTACAGCTGCTTTCTAATAAGCTACTCCAGATTTTCATAATTGAGCACAATCCTTTGAATATGAGCCTAGCACTTTTTGAGCTGTCTGGTTACCTTTAGCCACTCTTCGGCCTGTTCTTTGCTCTGTACGGCAAGCACCAGAGCATCAGCTCCCTGATGGACGATCTTCAGTTCATGCTTCTTTTTCTTGCCGTCTTTGGGAATGTGTGTGATGCTGCAGCCAGACAGGAGGAGCTCCATCTGTGGAGTCTGGTCTTTGGAAGACTTGTAGCACTGAGAGAAAGAGAGACACATTAGGGAAGCTGCTTAGCTTATAAATATTTTCCTCCGAAATCTTTTTGTTTACGCACTACAACATAAGCTGAGTCAAGCCAAGCAGAACTGCTTAGGAATAGAGGCAATGGGAGAGTGGGGTAAGATGTGTCAGTGGGTAAACTGTCTCACGTCCATAATTAAGTAAACTGTGCATCATTTTTATCAAGTAACCATACATTTAGGCACAACATATACAGCTTCCTGTGATTATGAGATGCATATGAAAAAAACAGATAAGCATATAAAAAGTTAGCATTTTTATGCTAAAAACTGATATTATGATTACTAATGTAGAAAAATGTAAATTGTTAGGCTAAACATTTACCATTAATTATTAAATGAAGCATTTTTCCTAAAATAGTTTGGTGGGGTAAAGTGTGCCAGATGCTGTACTATCATTGCAACTTAAAGTAAGCTTTGCCTCCACATACAGGAAATACTATTAACAGTTGTTGAAAATTGTTTCACTACATTAAAATATTCAGAATAATCAAATATTTCCTGATTGATTTATGAAAATGTGAATTATGTCACACTATAAGACCTTAGAATGAGATTTATTTGACTAATTAACTGATTTGACTAATTAGTCAATTGAGCCATTGAATCACTTTTGATTAAACAGTGATTATATTTCTATGGCCCTGATTTATGAATGATATCTTTTAATTTCAGCTGACAGGAGACATCCTGAAATATAATTAAGTGTCTTTATCTAATTTCTCCTGTCAATCTCTGTGAGTGTGTGTGTGCTCACCAACAGTTTGTTGTCCTTTATGACACAGAGCAGTTTGGTCCATTGTCCAAAGCGTTTCTTTCGCAACAGGAATGCACAGATACGTGCGTCTTTCACCAGGTCCATGGAGGCCTCCTCAGATGGCCACTGGTGATGCATCTTCTGCCCCTTCCCATCCTCCTCTTCCTCATCGTATGACTCATATGAACTACTCATGGCATCCGAGTCATAATCTGAGAAAACAATTGGAACTCTGATTACTGAATTTTATTGAAATGAATGCAAAAATGTTCTGGCCATTCTTAGGTCACAGATGCAGCTACATTACTGTCATAGCTCTAAAACCTATAACATATTAATAGTGTGGTGTTAAAGACTGTCCTTACTAGAGGTGATGTACTCTGGTGCTTTCCCAGGGCCCAGCGGAACGGCTTCCTCATAATAACCTTCAGGAAGAGAGGAGCTCGGCAAGGGAGGAGGCCCGTTGTCTGGAGGCTTTGGGACGGAGGGAAAGAGAAAGAGAGAGAAAGTGGTCAGCTCAGTCATACAGCCTCCTGGATGAGAGTGCTCGTTCCTCCTTTTCCTAGAAATGTGAGGACAAAAATATCAGCTTCACTGGCTCCAATGAATGTAAGCAGTTGTGAATCCTCAAAAACTAACAATATCAAAACAGCTGAGGCATCATCCATCTTATCTGAAGTCCATCTTAGAGGTCAACTGTTCATACTGAACTACGATCTCTAACATCACGATGAGGCCAATATGAACCAACCAAGGCGTACATATCAACAACTGTGGCAAGAGTGAATGTTAACAAACAAAACTGTAGAGAATTTTATGGTAAAAGAGCAGCTGGTCATGATAAGTAGAAGAAAGAAAAAGAAGAAAGAGAAAATACAACACAAACAAATCAAAAATAGGAAACAAGAGCAGAGTGAGCTACAGAATAGAAAAACGAGAATCATAAGGCTGGCCAGCAAGTTCTGGAAAAAGAGTTCAGGGCTATTTGCTGTTCTTTATTCCCATCTGAAGGAACACCAGTAGAAGTGTGGGCTTCTTACCTAATGCAAGTCATTTGGCCAGATTTCTCCATCTGTATTTAAACAAAAACAACTGTAGTAGTAAATAAAGGTAATACCTAACAGTCTATCATTCATTTAGTTTGCTGCAATTAAGATTCACTTCCAAAATCTAGTGTGCTGCCTCCACAGGTAGCGTTTTACATCACCATAGACACTCTCCTAATGCCAAGACTGTACCCAAAGGTAGGTGGCATAATTATACTGCCTTCCAAGACTTTCATTTGGCTCAATTGCTAGGGCAGGGAAGCATTGCATCTTTAGTGGAGAAGGCAATCCTAGAAAGCACTAGAATAAGGTCAGTGAAAGCAGGAAAAGTATTACAAATGTGTAATAATTATAATTAAATAATGAAATTAAATACAATAAAATATAAATATATAATAATAATAATAATAATAATAATAATCATTAATTAAATGATTATAAAATTCTGAGGAAAAAAATATGGAGGGAAAAACTGAAAGATTAGAGAAAATCTAAATATCTGCATATGCATTTTCATTCTTATTAAAGTTACAACATGAATAAATTGTTTAAAAATCTGAAAACTTTTGTGCATACACATACTTTTAGGATAAAATCTGCACAAAGTTTTCTACACGAGGCCCTTGGTGTCTATAATCAATGTGCACACTATAGAACCTAATTAGTGAGCGAGTCAGATTGTTTGAAAGAGAGAAAAAGAGAAAGAGAGACTGTGTGTATATGAGCGCAAATGAGCATGCATGTGTGAGTTACAATGTGTTTAAGACCGTCTGATTTGGGCCTTGGTTGGTTGGGCCCCGCTGGCAGCACATGTGACAACCTGGTGTCGTCATGACAACACAGGCCCTTCAGAGTCTCCCTCATTTCCCAGGCTGCATGCAAACAATTATGGTTGATGACAAACTCATATAAACACTTTTCATTTTCCCTTTTCCCCCCCTCTAACCAATGGAAAGTATGTCTTTATTTCTTTTTCTTTCATTTCAGCTCACAGAAAGCACTGTTATTTTCCAGTACTTTTCAGGTGGGGGGATTTTCAAGAACACATTTCAAGAGACCAAAGGACCAGTGATCACAGTTGCCACCTGGCACACTTTATCACCATGGTAACCTCGATGTGGTACAATAGTAACACAGAACATGAACGACTATTTACATTACAAACACTGCAAGAAGACATGGAAATATACTGTAGGGGAAAAGTTCAAACAGACGGGAAACAACAATACAGAAGATGTTTTCTCACGCTTTCACTGGTGCTAAATGCTTTACTGCATTTTCACTTTAGGAAGTAACTGTGATGAGACCTTCTATGTTCAGATATTCCCAAGAAATATCACACTTGAATGCTTTTTAGACTATTGATGGTGCTAGAACAGCATCGCCTTTTTCAGCATGGCCTAAATGAGCTCATAGTATAATTGGCAACAAAAACAGCATCAAATTGATTGTGTGTTGGGCTGACCTCAGTATTTATGTAGTCTGCTGGTTCCTGAGGATTTTTGTTCACATTTGTAATCAAAACTACAATAGAAACTGTAATGTTTTAGTGTGTCCTCCTGGCACATGAGAGAAGGGTAGAGGAAGTTTGACGTCTGAGGTAGAGGAGGATACTTTATCTCAATGCTAGTCATTACAACTTGGCTTTAGATATAATGAAGACCAGAACATGCAAACTTCCCCACACACTATTCATCTTTGTGGGTAGTTAAGAGTGAACCTACTATAAATGTACGTCCAAAACAAGACTTGGCTTCTCCTTTCTTCCTCTCAGTATGATTTTTTTTTAAAGAAATTCATAATTTTATTCAGCAAGGATGCATTAAATTTATCAAAAGTGACAGTAAAGACATACACAATTTTATAAAAGATTTCTTTCTATTTTTTAATGCTGTACTTTTGACAGAAAAAAAATTATAAAAAATATTTGATATAATATAAATATATACTAAAACCTTAAAGGGTTAGTTCACCCCAAAATTTAAATTCTGTCATTAATTACTCACCCTCATGACGTTCCAAACCCGTAAGACCTTCGTTCATCTTCAGAACACAAATTAAGATATTTTTGATGGAATCTGAGAGCTCTCAGACCCTGCATAGACAGCAACGCAACTGTAATGTTCCCAGGTCCAGAAGCGTAGTAAGGACATCGGTAAAACAGTCCATGTGACATCAGTGGCTCAACTTCAGTTTTGCGAAGATACGAGAATACTTTTTGAGCACAAAGAAAACAAAAATAACAATTTCTTCAACAATTCTTCTCCCCCGAGTTACGTCTTCCGCCATTTTAGAGAGTATCACAACGCATACGCACGCTTTCCCCTAAGCGTAAACAACGCTGATTACGCAGATTACGTTCTTGCGCGCACTTTCTCTTCTGAACGTAAACAACGCTGATTACATCGATTACGCTCTTGGGTACTCTCCAAAATGGCGGAAGACGTAACTCGGGGGAGAAGAATTGTTAAACAAATTGTTATTTTTGTTTTCTTTGCGTTCAAAAAGTATTCTCTTATCTTCGCAAAACTGAAGTTGAGCCACTGATGTCACATGGACTGTTTTACCGATGTCCTTACTACGTTTCTGGACCTGGGAACATTTAAGTTGCGTTGCTGTCTATGCAGGGTCTGAGAGCTCTCACATTTCATTAAAAATATCTTAATTTATGTTCCGAAGATGAACAAAGGTCTTACGGGTTACGGGAACAACATGAGGGTGAGTAATTAGCATATCATGATTTCTGAAAGATCATGTGATGTAATGAAGACTGGAGTAATGGCTGCGGAAAATTCAGCTTTGCCATAACTTAAATAAATTACATTTTAAAAGATATTAAAATAGAAATCAGTTAATTTAGATTGTAATAATATTTCATTTATAAATATTTTATGCCTTGGTGAGCATAAGAGAATTATAAAAAAAAAAAATTTAAATCATACAGACCCCCCAACTTTTGAACAGTAGTGTACATTGTTGAAATAAAGTGGGGGGAAAAAACAATGAAATATGGAAAACCAAAAGGGCAAAGAACTGTTTTTCTTTTATGGTTGTCATTTCCAGTCAAAAAGTTCACTGAATACAGAAGTACTATTTATCAGTTCCTTCCGTCCCATCAAGCCATAAACTGCTCAGCTAAACACAGAAGACGGCTGTGTTACTGCCTGTTATGGTTTCGGTTCATCAGGGCATCTAAGCCCGGAGGGAGGACAGAATTCCAGGCAAAAACGGCAGTGTGAAGAGTCTTGCTGAAGCAGCGTTCCGTACCAGAGCCGCTCAAGTATTTTTAGGCATAGTTCCACCACTGGTCTGAGCTGGAAACCTGTATGAAGCATATCTGCACCTACAGAAAAAAGTACACTTCCACCTATTGATGCAAAATCTAATCCATCATGTCTGTGCTTATGTATAAAGGTAAATACTTGATCTAGATTTCAAAAATGAGCTTCAAACTTCATTTCACACTTCCTTTCCAGACCATTTCACTTCATAACATAGTGTATAGTGTTATTATGCGGTCCGTGATAAGAGTGAGTGAGACAGACGTCTGGGCCAGTCTGGGTCTATTGTATTGGGACTGCAACACAGGGCAGCCAGGAAAACGCACTGAAGTCCGACAATAATTAAATCGTTTAACCTTCAAATTTCCTTGTTTGGCTGCCTTGATATGCAATGTATTCATGCATACACTTAAACACTATTTATACACTAAGACTCAACTAAATCTTACTTTCACACACATTCATGCAGTGGAGTTAGTTTTGTGAGGTTTGTGTCTCTACAAATGGTTTTCCATGTGTTTTGGAGAATCTTTTTATTCTCGATTGGTTCTTCGGAGAAACTTTCCAGCAGTCCCACATAAAAAAACAGCCGAAAAACTGAAAGCTAATTTTCCCGAATGAAATGGCTTTATAAACTGTCACTTGCTATAATCTCTAAAAGATGTTCAGAGGGGTAGAAATCACCATCTGTATTGGTATTTCCATGGCAATGAACAAAATGCATTGTTGTGCATGAATCATAATTCATTTTCCTCCTTTTGTCCATGACACAATGAAGGATTACTAGAAAGAGAGAACATAGACCCAAACTCTCCTGCAATGACTTTTGTCATCAATAGTCAGTGATACATCATTTTGGGCAAAGAAACTTAATTTAACTTTGGGACATTCAGTGAAAACGGGGGAAATATGAAGAAAGGAGGAGCTAAAAAATGGCGAGGTTTTTCAAAAACAGACTCCCTTTTGGGTTACAAAGAGCAGACAGATAATGAGGTTGTCTGCATCTGTGTTCATTAACGTGACATTGTGTGTTGAGGTGCAGTTGGGGTATGCTGGTGGGGAGGAGCAGAAGCCAACATCAACACAGATGGAAGTCATCATTGTCACAGTGGAGTCTGTTATGGCTTCCCCATATTCTCTTACATGC